GTTATGGCTGCTCTCAGTCCCGTTCCCAGAGGCTCTGCTTCTCAGAACCCCAGCAACCGCTGCAAACCTCGGAGAGAAAGTTGCCCTCACGTTCCGACTGATGCCAGACAATCCCGCTTCTCCCGTTTGAGTCTGAGTCCCTAGAGACTCGCCCCGAACTGGAGCTCAGAGCCTGAGACTACCTCCCGATTGAAAACGACAACCGCGCCATCAGCCGCCAGTCGGCTCCACGCGCACCTCCGTACCTTTGTATTTTCCACACTGCGCCTCCTCTGAGCCTCGGTGTGCTGTTCTCTTTCCTTCTAGTTGAAGAATCTCTCCTCAGCCAGCCTTGCTGTGGTTCTGGGTGATGTCCGTTCTGTCTTTTAGTTGTATTTTTGAAGTGGTTGTTTGCGGCAGCAATCTCCGGTGTTTACCTATGCCGCCATCTTGGTTTCTCCCCTCCTCTGAATAGCATGTATATTTTTATGTATTGGTTGGCAATCAAGTTGGGAGGCAGAGTTTTAATTGGGAGCTATAGCCACTAATAGGGTGATTTTAATCTGTAGATTTATTAGAGGGGGGAGGTATAGTTAACAAAGAGGTTCTTTATGTACATATTCAACTAGTAATTATTAGAGACTATTCTTTTATTGAGGACTTGTATTTCATGAGAGACCAAGTTGTCTGTAGTATCTCTTACTAGATTTGAGTTATTAGGGATTATTAATAGCCTAAATTTTTCCTTTTGGGGAAACAGAAGAAGAGACATTTATATTTTGATTCATAGGCATTAAAATTGACATATCATAGTCAATTACCTTTGAATTCCTTAATCTGTTTTATAGGAAGACTATTTAACATACATGCTATCAGAGTAGTTTCACTGCCCTAAACATGCCCTATATCATGTTTATCCCTTACCTCCCTCCCCCTTGAATGCCTAGGAAACCACTGTTGTTGTTTTTTATTGTCTTTGTAGTTTTGACTTTTCCAGAATGTCATATAGTCAGAGTCATACAGTATGTAGTCTTTTCAGACTGGCTTCTTTCACTTAGAAATATGCATTTAAGGTTCTTCCAGGTCTTTTCATGGCTTCATAGCTCATTTCTTTTTATCACTGAATATTATTCTATTTTATGGATTGCCACAGTTTATCTCTTCACCTGTTGAAGGACACTTTTGTTGCTTCCAAGTTTTAGAAATTATGAATAAAGCTGCTGTAAACATTTATGTGCAGTTTTTTGAGTGGCCATAAGTTTTCAACTCATTTGGGAAAATATTTAGGAGTGCAATTGCTGCCTCATATGGTAAGCCTATGTTTATTCTGTAAGAAATTGTCAAACTGTATCACTTTGCATTCGCACCAGCAATGAATGAGAGCGCCCGTTGCTCTTCATCCTTGCTAGTATCTGGTATAGTCAGTGTTTTGAGTTTTAGCCATTATAGATGTGCTGTAGTATCTCATTTTAATTGGCAGTCCTCTAATGACATGATGTTGAGCATCTTTTCATGTGCTTATTTGCCATCTGTATGTCTTCTTTTATGATTTGTCTGTTTTCTGTTCATTAAAATCTTGTTCATTTTTTAAATATGTGTTTGCTTTCTTATTGTTGAGTTTTAAGAGTTCTTTTTATATTTTTGGATACAAGTCTTTACTGGGTATATGTTTTCCAAGTATTTTCTCCCAGTCTGTGGCTTGTCTTTTCATTTAATACTTTTAAATGTTTATAGAGAAGATGTTTTAGGTTTAATGAAGTCCATCCAACATTACCATTTTCTTTTATGGCTCATGCTGTTGATATTATATCTGAAAAGTCATGACCAAACTCAAAGTCACCCACATTTTCTCCTGTTTTATAGTTTCACATTTCACTTTTAGGTATGTTACCCATGTTGAGTTAACTCCTGTGAAAGGTGTAAGGTCTGTCTGGATTTTTTTCTGTTCCATGTCCCTTTGTTCCAGCACCAACCATTTGTTGAAAAGACTATTCTTTCTCCATTCAGTTGCCTTTCTCTGTTGTCAAAGATCAGTTGACCATATTTGTGTGGTGTATTTTGGGACTTTGTTCTGTTCCAGTATCTATTTGTCTATTCTTTCACCAAATACCATCTGCTTTGATCACTGTAGCTTTCTATAAGTCTTGAAGTTAGGTAGTGTCAGTCCTTTGACATCATTGTTCTTCAGTACTGGGTTACCTGTTCTGGGTCCTTTGTCTTTTCATATAGATCTTAGAATCACTGTGTTGATATCCACAGAATAGCATGTGTTGAATCTGCATGGAGTAGGGAAAAAGCAACATCTTAAAAATATTGCACTTTCCTATCAGTGAGCATGGAATGTATCTCCACTTATTTAGATTTATGATTTCTTTCATGAGTAATTTTCCTCATATGGATCTTGTATATATTTTGTTAGATTTATACCTAAGTATTTCTCCTTTTTTGTGTGCTAACATAAATGGTGGTATGTTTCATGTTTTTAATTTCCAATTGTTCGTTGCTAGTTTATAGAAAAGCAATTAGCTTTTGTATATTAACTTTGTATCTTGCGGTGTTTCTATAATCACTTATTTCCGTATGTGTTTATTTTTTACTCTTAATAAAACAAATAATAGAATTAGCATCTTTGCTTTGGGTGTTTTTTTTTTTTGAAGAATTTGTAATGTTTTTATTTCATTTTATTTTTTTCTTGCAGGCAGTGTCTTGGGAAGCACGAGGTGAGTTATAGGTACAAGTTTTGCTTGTTTGTTTTTAATATATTTTTATTGATTTCAGAGAAGAAGGGAGAGGGAGAGAGATAGAAACATCAATGCAAAGGATAACAGAGTTAGTTGTTTTGGAAACATGGGTCTTGGAGGTGTGTGTGTGTGAGTTGTGCTAATTTTTTTTTTTTTTTTTAAGGTGAGTCCACTACCATGTCATGCTGTAGGACCCTACTCTTGTAAGAGAGTTTGTGGACGAACCTTAGATTGTCAGAATCATATATGTATGAAAGAATGCCACAAAGTCACTGAAACTGAAGCCTGCATTGGCAAAAACAAGGTAATGTATAAACGCTTACATATCTCTGAATTTGCTTTCAAATATTTTTAAAACCTGACACATGATACATGATGCTCATAATTTTAATAAATTCCCAAACTTCAGTTGGAAGTAAATATCATCACAGATGTGTGTGTATGTGTGTGTGAAATTCAGTAAAAGCATTTTATAAGCATATGAAAAATTGACTCTAAAGAGATCTCTAAAAAATGTCATTTTATAAAGAAAAACAAATAGAGCCAATTAACTTTTAAATGATATTAAATTTTATTTTTTTAAAGTAATTCATGTTTTTTCTTAGGCTTCCATTTTATAGGGAATCATAATAGCAAGTGTGCTTAATGAGGAATAAGTAAAAAGTTTTAAGTTTCATACTTATTAAGTAACATTAAATGAACAAATATTTAAATTATTAATATGAATTGTGTTATTGAAAATTTCAATTGCATTGTTAGGTTTTTTGGTCTTTCTTTTGGTAATTGTAATGTATGACAGCATAAATATCCATAGTATTATTCTTGCTCATATGTAGACATAGATATAAATGAGTTATAATTTCCTCATTAGTCCATGCCTTGGTCCTCAATGAAAATGTAGTCATGATAAAATGAAAGGGTATTAGAATTATAAAATCAAAATAAATAATTTTAATGATTCAAAACTACTTTAAGGTATAGCTGCTATACAGCATTCCTCCTCGAGGTTTTCAGAACATCAAATGAGTCAGAAAAAAATTGTTTTAAGAGCTAATATGACAGTGACTGGAGAATTCTCTTTGACTATCCCACCATGGCTTCCTGGGCAGTGGATGTTGCAAAATATGGGTTATAAGTTATGTGCAATTTTTCTCAATTTAGCTACCAGTCCATTCATATCTCTCACTCAAGGAAGGCTACTGCAATTCAAGTGAGTGAAAATTACGTTATTTTAGGGTTAACTTTGCAATCACTCTAATTTATATATTAAACAAAATAACTCCAGAAACTTAAAAAAAATTTCTTACCTTACCTCAATTGTGACCCATTGGAGAAATACTCCTAGTATGTGTCTTGACCCAAATACCTATGGAATTTTTAATACAGTTTCAGCTTTCAGTTGTAGCACAGAGCCTACAACACAGCAGGTATTTAGTAAGTATTTATAGAATTGACTGGACTCAAAGTTCTTTGGCTTATCTGCTCTTCTCTGGTATCCTTGCCTGACCTTACCCACAGTCAGGTCCAGTGGAGGCTATTATATGCAGTGGCTCTGATTGTTACCATTAGCAACAGATATTCCTGTTGTCTAATTCATTGGTTATAATGAGTGGAACTGTGGTTGACAGGGAAACGTGTGAGGCTGGTGACAATTGAAATGGTGTGTATTTCCCAGGCAAATGTGGGACAGATATCTTTTGAAGTGCCTGCAAGAAGAAATTGAGTAATTGGGAAAGTTGTTTGTTTGGTTTTTTTTTTGGGGTGGGGGGGATCTATCACCAAAAATACAAAAAAATAAAAATATATGTAGATACATAATCATACCTACATATATTTCTATATAATTTTGTATGTTATAGACCCTTGCCACTCAGTGTTGTTTGCAGCCCAGCAACATTGGCATCAGCTGGAATCTTATTAGAAATGCAAAGTCTCAGGCCCCACTTCAGCATTTTAACAAGATTCCCCAGTGATTGATAATGCACAGAAATGTTTGCGAACACTGCTAAAAGCAGTGTGTGTGATGTGTCATGTTTCATTGATTTAAAAAAAACAAACGAATTTCATTATAATTATTAAACTTGCTAAGAGACTAGAATTTAATTATTCTAACCACTAAGAAGAAAGGATAATTCTGTAACATGATAGAGGTGCTGTTGCTGCAATGACAATCTATTACACTATATAAGTGTATCAAATTAACATCTTAACACCTTGAGTTTATACAATACCAATTATATTTCAATAAAATGAAAAAATTTCGTTTATTAGGATTAATACCCAAATGTTTATTCTGCATTTCTTCTCATCATCCCACTACTTAAAATTAGGATTGCTCTCCCTGGATTTCCAGAAAGTTGGATGAATTGAAGAAAGCTCATTTTAAAAGCTGATAATGAAAAATGTTGAATCTTTAAGACTTAGTATTCATATCTATAACTCTTTTATTTTATCTCAGTATGATATGTGAAATTCAACACTATCCTGTAATAAAAATCTTTAACCTTCTTTAGTAGACAGATACTACTTAAATTATTACTAGAGCAGAGAGGTGACTTGTTAAGTTACAATTTTACAATTGAGATAATATTTATTTGTACTAAATGTGATTTAGTTTTGCCTTATTGAAGTGCATTAAAAATAAATTAAACTGGTGGTCATTCTCCTTTTTTTCCCTATATGTGTTTTCCTTTAGCGAGATGAGATGACTATTGAATGTTTTTTTAGTTTGATGATGATCGTACTTGTTGGGTGTAAATGAATTGATAATGTCTTACTATGTATTTTTTTCTGCCAGGAAGTAATTTATGTTTTTATTAGAGACATTCAATGTATTCATGTCCATTTTAAAGGTGAGGCAGTTTGATTTAATCAGGTTTGTAGACATAGAAATCTTTGTGAATAATGGTCATATTGATAATCTTACTATTCTTCATTTTGAATAATTTTAAGCTGTATTTCTAAGAGCTGCAGAAGTACTTTGTTTTAGTGGGATATGTAAATTTTATAACTACTGTATAGAAATGTTAGACTTCTGTACGTAGGTGGTTTATTTCCTTTCAATTTGGCAGGCTGGCCCCGAGTGCCTTCAGTGTGAAGAAGGGTGCTCTAAATCACGGCCAGTGGGTTGTCCTCATCCATGTGTTTTGCCATGCCACCCTGGAGAATGTCCTCCTTGTGTTCAGATGCTTAGAATAAAATGTCACTGCAAGATCACAACCCTATATGTGGAATGTAGGTAAGAAGACTGAAGAAATATTGTTGTTCTACTAAAATTATTTTCATGATATCTTTTTATAATTCAGAACTCTTCGTATGTAATATACGGTAAGGAATATTTTTCAGTGGTGGTCCTGAGACTCTAGAGACCTAGATTTTCCCTAGTGACCTGGCGGCAATGTAGACTATTTACCTTTTAGATACTTTATCCTTTTTTAACCAGGGCATTTCTGAGTTTTTTCATTTGGGGATTCTATAAGATTTGTTAGGAAAAGAATTATATGACTGCTTTAAAAAAAAGAAAAAAGGAGAAGCATTCCTATAAATAAACAGCTTGTTCAAATAACAGTGTCAAACTAGAATTTCATTGGATCAAAAATTGATTTACGCATAATTACTTAAGTGTAATTTTTAAATTGTAGATTTAAAAGGTACAGTTTTGTTTATTACAGATGTCACTGTTATGGCATTTATTATACAAGGATGTGACCTTTATGTTTTCCTTACTTAAAAAAATGCAAGTTAATTATGGTCTAACTCAATGAGCTTCATTTCATCCATGTCTATAAAATGGGCTTTTTTTTTTTTTTTAAATATATTTTATTGATTTTTTACAGAGAGAGGAAGGGAGAGGGATAGAGAGTTAGAAAAATCAATGAGGGAGAAGCATCGATCAGCTGCCTCCTGCACGCCCCCTACTGGGGATGTGCCTGCAGCCAAGGTACATGCCCTTGACCGGAATCGAACCTGGGACCCTTGAGTCCGCAGGCCGACGCTCTATCCACTGAGCCAAACCGGTTAGGGCTAAAATGGGCTTTTTAAAAGTCTGATTTACTCAAAGTTAAATTTGGGAATATAATTTTATTTCTGATTTTTTTTTAGCATAAATGCTTTTTGAAAAATGCCTGTAAATTTGTTTTTGTCACTTACACTCTAGATTCATGCTTTGTAAAAGTCAGAATTATTTTGTTGAAATTTAAAAAATAAAATAACATACTACAATTTTTAGCTTTAGAAGTTTTGTAGGGGGAGTTAAGAGGGCAATTTTGCTTTATTAATGGGTGATACTGACAAAAAGGGATTGTTTTCTGTGGTCTTGCAGGGTCCTACATTTTCTTCTCTTCTTTTTCTCTTCATCGTGTAGTCTTCAAAAGGTGACTTTCCCTGTTTACCTTCAGTTCATGGCTCCTTGATTGTTGTGCACTTTTCCAAATCTCTTCCCTGTAGTTAGTGCTCTGATTACCAAGACTTTTTTAGTGCTCTTACACTGAGGGTTGACTTTCTTTTTCTGGAGTGATGTTAGCTCCCTGTCTCTTCTGTTCAGTTTTTCCAGAACTTCACTGACTTCTTGAAAAGATTTCCTATGGGAGCTTGAGAAATAGCTCTGCTAGGAATTGATACTTACTTTTCTACTTACAGGTAATTTGAAGCTTGTAGATATTTCTGTCTTCTAGTTATGCCAAGGTCATGGGATTTGAATGATTTTGTTATTAATGAGCTGAATGGTTTTTTGGGGAATGTGTGGATACATTTGAATTGAGATGGCTTTCATCATCTCAGCTATCCAGAGTTCCTTTTTCCCTTTCTTGAATACATATTTAAAATATATGTTTTTATACAGAATTCCTTAGTCTCGGTATTTTGATTATTTTATTTGCTCTAATTCAACTAATTATTTTATAAGTCATCTTTTCCTTTTAGTCCTTTTCTGCTTCATGTGTATTTCTTCTATGGAAATTAAGTATAAAAGATACAGACCTTGAAAAGTAGGTAATTTTTCCTAATTTATAGAGTAACAGGAACAATATGATTTTAATCCTTAAGTTCAGAGGTGAGCACCATACTTTAAGAATGAAAATATATAATGTTTAGTAGAACTAGCATAAAAACTCTGATAGGAAATGAAATTTTGCCAAGAAAATTGTGTATGTTAGAGTACATTTATAGATAATTTGATATTAAGATTACAATTTTGACATTAGTGAGGCTAACCTTATGCTATAATTTGGCAATTATGTCTAGTAAAAGGAAATAGAAAAAGCAGGAAAAGAAAGAATTTAAAAAAAGAAGAAAAAGCAATCTTGGGCAATAGGTATAGTAGGGATTTTTAGATGTCACTAGTTACTGACTCATGTAGTATCTCTTCTGATTCTATTCAATTCCCTATTAGAAAGTGGTTTTATTCCTTGGTGTTTATGACTATTTCTGAATTACCTATTGAGTCATATAAAAGCACAGACTGATCTAAAATGATGTAATCTAAAATGAATCAATTTCTAACATTAATAGCCTATCTAAAAACAACTGAAAGGCTTTCATAATAAGCTTACATTTCCCACTGAATAGCTTAACTTTCTTAATTTGAAGTAACATATTAAATGACTAGTTTTTAATTATATAAAGGCTTTAAGAATTTTAATTATGAATAATGATCAAACTATAGGGAAAGATAGTACAGGAACTTTTAAAGAGAGGCCAGATACAGTGATATTTCATGTGTGTTTTGTGCTTCCTTCTTGCAGTGATTGCCCTTTTGGCATTTAATTTGTTGGTAGTTGATGAAGGGCTGGAAAATTTGATTTATTGGAACAGTAAAATAATTGAGAGATAATTGTTAAAGAAACAATTAAAATAGGTCTCAAGAAAAAATAAGAAAGATGATTTTATAGACATGTTTGAAATTGTGAGTTGTTTTTGGAAAATATGCTATGAAATGGACTTGGTTTGAATGTCACCAAATCTTACTCTCTTATTTTTAGAAAAATAACAACAGCTGACGTAAATGAAAAGAACCGCCTCAGTTGTTGCAAAGATCAGTGTCCTAAAGAGGTAAGCTTTAATAGAATCTTTTAAATTGTATTTTTGGGGCATTGTTTTTCTTGGATTTTCTCTTTTCTTGTTTGGACATCCTATTTCAGGATTTTTCTGGACCCACTAAAAATGTGGGTCCAGAAATAAAAATGTGATGTTTGTAAAAATGTAATACATATGAGTAGGGTAGATGCACATCCCTTTATGAAATTTGGGGAGTATGAGGTCTAGGATGACCCTTTGAAGATTTTTTTAAGTAGTTTTAAAGATAGCTTATATACTTTATGCAATAAGGTATTCAACCTAATCCTTACCTCCCATGTGATTCAGACTTAAAATATAAATATATCAAAAACTGTGTGGGTCTTAGGCAGTTAGAGAATAAGTTCATAGTAGGTTATTTTAAAAAGACATGTATGTTTGTGTATGAACTTTAAAATTCATTATTATTTTGATTTAGTATAAAGCATTCATATATAAAGTTTTTAAAAATTCAGATGTTTGTGCATTATATTTGAACTACAAGTATCGAAAGTGGTTCCAAAAAATTGTTCAGAGTAAAATGGTAAAATCTCACTATTGATTTATCCTGGCAATAATGTGAGAAACCAAGGTTATCCATCTGTATTGGGCCAATCTAAAAGTCAACATTCTCCTTTTTGTTGTTGTTGGAGCTAGGGCAGTGACAGTTATTTGATTTGCAAAGGTGGGATTTATAAAGGAAGCCTTTTGACTTATGGATGTACTAATAGTACCTCTTTTCTTTTAATGCTTGATCAGGAAGAGAAGGCAACATAGTTTTAAATATAGTAGTCTCTTTGACTAAATAAAACAAATCAGTGCATGATATGCCATTTTGTTAACTAAAACTTTGGATACTTTTAACTAAAACTTTGGATACTTTTTATGGATTTTTGTTCAAGAACTAGGATTTGACAGTTTCAGAATTTATACAAAATTATAAAATATGAGACCATTTCAAGCATTAAATGATTATTTTAATAATCCTGTCTTTGTTAATATGAGTAAAACTAGAGGCATGAGTTATTTCAAATTTAATTTTCTGAATTTTTCAATCCCAAGTTTTTCTTGTTAAAATATATTTTCTTCTGTCCAAATTCAGATTTGGGGTAATAAGTAGTTGAGAATGTAACTGCTTTATTTTGGTTTTATTTTAGCTTCCTTGTGGTCATAGGTGCAAAGAGATGTGCCACCCTGGCGAATGTCCTTTTAATTGCAACCAGAAGGTAAAACTTAGATGTCCTTGTAAAAGAATTAAAAAGGTAAATATTTTAAGTTATTGAAAATTCTTTTCTATGTACATATTTTTGTCTGTGTTTGGTAGTTCTTTGGCTTTATTTTTGCTTTTTAATTTTAAGGTCTTGTTTCTTAGAATTTTTATTATTATTATCCCATCTATTTCTGTAAATGCTTGTTTTAAAAATCAGCTTTGTTTGGCAATTTAGTTTTTTGCAATTTAATAGTAAAAGATTGTTTTATGTTGGAACCAAGGTCAGTGTCCTTTTTTTGGATAGAATCAGCTTTGCCCAGGGAACACAATGAGTAATAAAGCGAGTGTCATGGTTTAAGAAATGGTCTGGAATTAACCTTTGTTGCTCTTAAGAAACTTTTTTTGCCATCAGTATTATGTTTTGAAAATGCCTTAAAAAGGACCTCACATGCACAGCCTTATAAAACTATAAAATAGTATTCAAACTTGTAGAGACCTAATTTTAATGTAAAATAGTAGTAACAGAGGAATAAGAGGGCAAAAACTAACGATTGGAAAGCTCAATCGCAACAGATTACATAACGCTGGGCAAAACTGAAGACAGAGTCTGAATTCTCAGATGCCAGTGGCTGAAGGGTCTTTTTCCAGTTCTTTTCCTTGACTTTCCTGCTGACACTGTTGACTCCTTTGAAGCTTTCTTCTTTCTTGACCTCTGGTTTTTCCCTGTCTCAGTTATAGTTGACTCCCTTTTGTCTTCATATTTCTATGGTCATTTCCTTTAGGTAGGCTCCTTTTTTCTTCTTCTTTAAATTCACTCTTTTATTTACCCATTCAACAAATATTTATTTAGAATCTTTTGCTTTTATTAAGGTTCTCTTCATTTGTTTTCACAGCTCCTACTATTATTATTTGGGGTAGATAACTTCTGAATTTAAATGTATAGGCTTGACCTCTTCTGGAGTTGAATTTCCTAAGTTTTAGTTGTTTAAAGTGAATCACCTTTACATGAAAATCAACACTTAAGTCAAGCCACTTTTAACCTGGGCCGTCTATCAGGTTTTCTCTCAAATCTCATGTAATTGTCCAGGTGCAGTTTGCCACCCATTAGAACATCGGCAACAGCTTGCTCTTGGACTTTGACAACAGCTTCATGATGGATTTTCTTGCCTCTAATCATAGCACCTCTCCTATCTATGTTCTTCATTGGTTCTTCATGCATTGTGGTGAAAAATATGCATTTATAAGAAATGTGTATATACATAGACTCGACATACAAGAGAATCTATGATGTTACTTTGCCTATTTGTCCAGTCTCATCCTATAGCACTCTGTGAATCTGTTATTTTTAAGTGTCCTAACATACATGCTGTACACCCCTTTAGCCTGTGTGTGTGTGTGTGTGTGTGTATGTATGTGTGTGTGTGTATGTGCATACATATATTCCTTCTTTTGTGTAAAATACAATGTATTTTTCCCTTACCATTTGCTTGTGAGAATCCTGCTAATACTCAGTGTGAACATTTCCTTGTTAGGGAAGGTCTTTCTTCCCTAACTCCCTTGGGAAGACTTAGGTGCTCCTTCCTCTGCTTTCTTTGTATTGGATGCTATAGAGTTTTCTCAAGAGCTTCGTGATTCTAGGCACATCTGTAACTTTGTTTCCTCATCTGTGAAATAGAGTTTATACATAGATTTACTGAAAGGAATAAAAGTAATGCTTATATAGCATTTAGCACAATGACTGCGATGTTTCTCATAACATTGGAGTATGTTTAATATCATAGCAGTAGCTTCTAATAGTAGCTACTATTATTATTTTTAGTTTAGCACTTATTATTAAGCTCTTTTCCTTACGTATATCCCCTGTTCATAACAAAACACTTGGCATGTAATAGGCACTCTATAAGTACATCTTGAATGAGAAAAGATAAGATCTTTCTTTCAGGCTTATACCCTTAATGTCCACAAACACACACATTTAATTTTTTGTCTTTAATGTTTGGTCATCATATTTTTTCTTTTTCTGGACTATCCTTAGAGGACAAGACTGTTTATCACTAACATCAGCCAAAAGTGAAGAACTAAAGGGAAAAACCTTCTAAGTAATAAAATTTCATTCTATAAAGTGCTTTCATTAAAGTATATGCACTTTGTTCATAGGAATTGGTGATCTTATTTCTTAACTGTGGTAGATTTGAACTAAAAAACTAGAATCTGAGAGTGTGATGCGAGAGGAAAAATTGATACAAATATAGGTACCCTTTGAGCAAAAGTGACATCTGACAGCAAGAAACAGGGATAAATAAAAGGTTTATGAAAGATCTATAAAATCAAAGTCTCAGAGTAGCCTATATAATAAAAGCCTAATATACTAAGTGTCTCGTCGTCTGGTCATCTGTTCAACCAATCAAAGTGTAATACGCTAAGGATATGCTAAGGTCGCTCAACCGCTCACTATGACGTGCACTGACCACCAGGGGGTAGACGCTCCGACTGGTAGGTTAGCTTATTGCTGGGGTCTGGCAGGTAGGGACTGAGCGAGACAATCTGGACAAGCCTAGAGCCCTCCCGTAGTCTCTCCCTGGCTGGCCAACCTCCCGAGTTCCTCCCTGGCCCCAGTCGTGCACCAGTGGGGTCCCTCGGCCTGGCCTGTGCCCTCTCACAATCCGGGACCCCTCAGGGGATCTCAGAGAGCCCGTTTAGGCCCCATCCCGCAAACCAGGCTGAGGGACCCCACTGGTGCATGAATTCGTGCACCGGGCCTCTAGTTTAAAATAAGGACCACTTAATTCATTATAGCATAGTACACAAATTGATCATAGTATTGATATCAAGTCATTAAGATCCTCCTTTATTTCATTAAGGAGGCAGTGAAGTGCAAATACAAACTGTAGAAAGATTTTCATTTAAACTGAACAAAGGTTTACTAGTTAAGAGAAAAATTTGTAGCTCTTTAGAAAACTCTAGAATTACATTGAGTTGGTAGCCACTAGCCACATGTGGCTATTTAAGTTTGAATGTTAATGAATTAACAGTAAATAGTATTAAACGTTCATTTCCTCCTTTCATTAGACACATTTTGAATGCTCAGTAGCCACATGTGGTTAGTGCTACTCAATTGGGTAGTTAGTGCAGATTTAGAATATTTCCAGCATCTCAGAAAGCCGCTGGATGGACTGCTCTGGAGCATTTTATTACCTGGAAGCTTTACTAGATTAACAAGAAACAATAAAGAAAAACTGACGTTTCTCAGTAGCTGTACTTAGTAAGTGGATGATTTTAATTTTATGGTATTTGCTTTTTTTGTATTTAAGGGAAAATAAAGTAAATAATCACTCTTTGAACCAAGAGATTTGATACTTGCAACCATATCAAATTATTAAATATTAATGAACATGACTTAAATAATTGGCATAACCTTTAGCTCTTAGGGAAATTTTGCTTTCTTATGACATAGAGTTAGAAGGGAAAAATCTTAAAATCTGAAATGTAAAAATTTTCATTTGTTAGGAATTTCAGTGCAACAAAGTACGTGAAAATCAGATTTCAATAGAATGTGACGCAACATGCAAGGAAATGAAGCGGAAAGCCTCTGAGGTACTGTCACATTAGCAGTAAATATAATTTTCAAAGTGCTAATGGCCTTTCCCTGTTTATTTTGTGCATTTCTTTATGTGCTTATTGCGAATGACTGGAAAGCTCATCTTTTTTGTTTTTATAATTAAAACCTGGTTTTATAGGCCTACTTTGAATCTTCAGGTGTGCTTTTTATTGTCTAATGTGTACTAGATTTTCCATTCTCTTAACCAGTTAGAGTATGTGCTCTGGGACACGGTTGTTCATCTTAATGTTAGTGTAAACCTCCTGAAAATTAGGTTAAAATAATATAAAGATAAGGTTTTAGGATTCTTTGCTGTGTGGGTTACCTCTTACGTCATTTATTCTTGCACTCAACCCAGTCCATGAGTGAACCGTTGATTTTGTTTGAAAGTCAGGTTTCCCTTCAAGACATTTAAAGTAAATGATTGATTATAACTCCAGAAAGAGAGTGGTATTGAATAATTTTGACTATAGCTTGTTACTATGATTACTCTAAAGAAAAAAAAAAACAACCCATTTTAAAAGCATTTCAATTAATACTATTGTAGCTCTTTGAATTGTGATCTAATATCTGTTATAGTTAAATTGAAGTGTTTATAGAAGGTATTACATTCCATCTCTCCTCACCCCCAGTCTGTTAGACAGTATCTTGGTAACACTTTTCACTATAATATTTACATTTCTTTTAACTGCCAGTGTAAAGCCTCCAAAAGTCATTATGGGTTTGTGGAGCCTCAGTGAGATGATGCTAACATTCCGTATAGAATTTGAAAATTACAATGTGTTACTTTACTTTTAAATGTCTGTAAACAGATAAAAGAAGCAGAAGCCAAAGCTGCTCTGGAAGAGGAAAAACGAAGACAACAGGTAACTGAACAGAACACCCAGAGTTGTGTTTCTTTGCATCATTGTTAGTTTTTATTCAAATACAAAGTATATTCCAGGTACAAACCAGGGGCTAGTCAACTCTATTCGGGACTGAAAATAATATAGTGCATACATTAAAGCAAGCCATTCACTTACTTTAATCCAGGTACACTGTACCTCTGAAGAAGCACAGGATCTCGTATATTCCCAGATATTTTATATATTCCCAATGTTCTTCCTTTGCCTCCTTGCCAATTTCATCCATTCACCAGCCAGAGTTTTAACTCATCTTTTAGTCTCGGGGGAAAGGGTTAGGGTGCAGTGCCATCCATTTTAAGGCATTTCCTGGAGCCCATGTCTTCGCTCATCTAAAATTATTTGAGTTCTGTTTTACTGAGTTGTAGATTATGTGTAGCAAATAAGTCTTAACCATAACATTTGTGTTAATAATACATTTTCCTATGTCCCCATTAGATTCTTATATAAATAAATAAATAAATATATACATATCTATCTATATATACATATCTATATCTAGATAGATAGATAGATAGATAGATAGATAGATAGATAGATAGATTTCAGAGATGAAGGGAGAGGGAAAGAGATAGAAACATCAATTATGAAAGAGAATCATTGATCGGCTGCCTCCTGCACACCCTCTACTGGGGATCGAGCCTGCAACCCAGGCATGTGCCCTTGACTGGAATCGAACCTGGGACCCTTTAGTCAGCAGGCCAACACTCTATCCACTGAGCCAAACCAGCTAGGACCCCATAGATTCTTAAAAGTAGGATTATTATCTGTTTTTTTTGTTATTACCTAGATAACAAATTCATTCCTGATACCTCCAGTTTGTTCAAATACTATATTGATCATATACTGCAAAGAGTGGTTTAACTTTCTTATAGTGACATGTAATTATTTGTTAATTTGCATTTTGGGATGCTTTATACTTACCAAGCAGGGTACAGTATATGTTAAAATGCTGCTTTTATGAATGAGGAAATTAAAACTTGCATGACTTGAGGGAGGACATTAGAAATAATTTATGTGGCAAATAAAAATGAGACAAAATGGCCGAACCGGTTTTGCTCAGTGGATAGAGCGTCGGCCTGCGGACTCAAGGGTCCCGGGTTCGATTCCGGCAAGGGCATGTACCTTGGTTGCGGGCACATCCCCACTGGGGGGCGTGCAGGAGGCAGCTGATCGACGTTTCTCTCTCATCGATGTTTCTAGCTCTCTATCCCTCTCCCTTCCTCTCTGTAAAAAGTCAATAAAATATATTTTTTAAAAAAAATGGGACAAAATGACCTATGATATTTTATGGTTCTGTAAAGTTGATTTGCCTAATATCCCAAAATAAGTTGTCAGAGGTAATGCAGTAAAACATGTTGGCTGAATTCCTGGGAGATTAAATTATTAAGACTAGGTTAGGGTATCCCTCACCTTTTTATAAACCATTATGGACGGTGATTTCAAATATATTCCCTATTTACTGACCTTTTAAATAGAGTATATAGAACATAATTTAAACTATATGCGTTGTCTGTGGATCATCATTAAAGCATCAATTATTTTACTGTCAGTGTTTCTCACGTTTGGCTGCTTTTAATGTATTTTGATCTTCTTCTATATATCAACAGCCACCTGACAATATTCTGACAATTTGGTTCATTGAAGAATGTCACTTTTGATTAAATTAAGTACATGGTTAGGTCTTCAAATGTAGTTTATAGACAAAATAATGGAGCGTTAACTGAATTTTATATTTCTACTATTAATAAACATTTGCAGTGGTTCTTAACCTTCCTAATGCCGTGACCCTTTAATACAGTTCCTCATGTTGTAGTGACCCCCCAACCATAAAATTATTTTTGTTGCTACTTCATTGAGCCAAACCGGTTAGGGCTTGTTGCTACTTCATAACTGTAATTTTGCTGCTATTATGAATCGTAATGTAAATATCTGATATGCTATATGTGTTTTCCTATGGTCGCGACCCACAGGTTGAGAACCGCTGATTTACAGAATCTTGCATGCATGTTACATATATTTTAATGACCTATTAAGTTTTAGTTAATAACAGTGCATGTTACATTATTATGTATTAAAGTTTAAGAAGTTCTTAACAGTAGAATAAAACTCCACATTTTATAATGAGTGTCATTCAGTTATCCTTTTTTTAGAAGTAGTTTTTATATAATTTACTTTCTAAAATAGTCATTTGATTTAAAGCATGAAGCATTTTTCTCCAGAAGAAATTTTATTCTATGATTTTAACTGTGTTTTATCAAGAGAAGAATGAGTTTCTGGTGGCTTTTTTTTTTCTCTCTTTACTCACTTGAATTTCTTCTACACAAGCCACTAATGTTATTTATCAACATTGTAAGAAACTGGAGTTATTTTCACTGGGCATCTCTTAGCACGGCATTCCTAAACTCTGTGTTTGTTGAATACAATTAGTAGTAGAGAGTTTAAGACAAAAAAATAAAATCACTGTATTTATTATATACCATTACTACTAAAACATTTCCCAAATTGATTTATTGTCATCTAAGTGGAAGATTTCAAGTTAATGTATATATTGGATTTAGTAAAAATGATACTATTTTGATTTAGGCTGAACTGGAGGCTTTTGAAAACAGACTGAAGGGTCGTCGGAAGAAGAACAGGAAAAGAGATGAAGTGGCAGTTGAGCCAACGCTGTGGCAGAAGTATAAATATCATCTCCTCCCAGTGTGTGCAGTTTTGGTGTTAGTGTTTGCATGGTACATAGCCCCTGGTGCGGCTTAAAATTTTTTGATCTGTAAATATACCTCAGATTGGATTTAGACACATTGTTAAATTTGGAATATTAGGAAGTGTATGTTGTACAACATGATATGTATTCACACTCATCTCTCTGTTCTCTTCCAGCTGTTGTTAGAAGGATAGAATGTTAAGCTTTATCTTAATATATGAGAAGTGGCAAGATAACATTGTTTGATATTAAAAGCATGACTGAAATGATGAAATATTTCATAAGGCATAGATAGTGGCAGGAGAGCATGTTAGTTGTTCATTGTGCTTCCTTGTATTAACATAGTTGTTTCATTTACTATTTCAAACCAACTTACCCTCCCTTCCCCACCCCCCCATTAAGATGAAACTGAGCCACATGTGCAGTAAGAGGAATATTTCATAATGCTTTGGTTACTTATTAGAAGGTACTTTTCTTCATCATGTAATATTGTACTTTAAAAAAGATAATTCTCTAAAAGGCCTCTTAAATTGTAACATGAATTTATATAATTAGATTCCAGAAACTGGCTTATCAGTTATTGAAATAAATTTTTATGTAGTATGTTCCTTAGAGGAAAATATTGTTTTCAAAATATGCCAGACTGGATTCCTCACATGTGGGTATTTCTAGTGTAAGAAGCTTTCAACTGAAGTCAGCATGTTTTATAAAACTTGTGTGTGTCTTTTCAAAGTAATAATAAAAGAAAAACTAATATTTATGAGCACTATGTGCTGAGCACAGGGCTTATGAGCTTTATGTACTTTATTCTCATTTTTTCTTACCACGGTACTCTTAAGTAGATTTTTATCTGGAAATAATTAGTTCTTATGAAAAGCTGATAGAGAAATATCAGTAAGCCAAATCTGTTTAAATTGTAAGTCATTTTAAATGGTTTTGTTATTTAATTTTTGTATGATTAATGTTTTCATTAAAGTTTTTCATACCAAATTTGTAATCTAGAATATTTATTATTATCTGAAATATTCAGGAACCTGTAGGTTTAGGCTAGGTATTAGTATCAATGCATGAAAAACTCCAAAATTTGAGTTTATTATTAGCAAAACATAGTAATTGATAGATAGTAAAAAGTGGTAGAAATATATTTTAAACAGAAGTACAAAGAAGGATTTTTAAATTTTGCTAAATTTAATTCAGTGTTTTTTTTAAATGTCTTGTTGATTAGTCAAGTATTAGCTGGTGTCTAAAATTAAAGGGCACTCGTTTCTTTCTTTATGGTTTTTGCGTTTTTGATTTTAGTTTTTTTTACTTTAACTTTCCCAGTTACTTTCTCAGTAACTCAGAGTTACTGAGTTGGTGTTTAAGCTGCTACTCTCAAGACATTACCTTACTCTGATCTAAAATGAATATTAGAGAATATGAACACAACTTGGTGTCTGCCTGGGAGCCTATTTTCATGTATGCCGGAATGTTGGCCTATTAAACAAATCTGAAGCCTAGTTCATGTCTGTTTGTTGGGCTGCTGATCTTGTTAGGTTTTCTTTCTAAAAAAAGAAAGTAGTGAGCCGAGGAAGGGGTTTGAATGAGTGACAGATTAAACTGCTGTTTTTTTATTTGCTTGGCTATTATCTCAGAGCTTAATTTACCCAGTCACACAGCTGTGTATTCAATCAACAGATGTGTTTCCTCTGTGACAGAGATACTTACTAGAAGGTAAGTGATCTTTCTCTTGGGGAGCTGCTACAGGAGTAGAAGAGATTTTTAAAAAATGAATACAATGTCATGTTAATACATGGTATTAAAGAAATAAGAGAAATATTCCAGAAAGTGGTGAAAGTGAGGGTAGAAGGGCACTAGCTACTTTAGATTGGGTAAGTCCCTCTGGGATGGGTTCATTTCAGCTGTGACCTGAATGACCTTCACTTGAAGATCTGAAGGGAAGGTCTATGAGGGAGAGAAAGCAGAAAGTACAAAGTCCCTAAGTTGGCGAGATGCTTGGCATGGCCAAGCAACAGAAGGGCTGGTGTGGCTGGAGCTAGAGAATGAGAGGGGGAGAGAGTCTAGGGCCAGCCAGTTCATATAGTACTTAATAGACCATGGTAAGGAGTTGGGATTCTATTCTAGTCACAGTGGGCAGCATTGGGAGGTTTTAAATGGGAAATAGTTATTTTTTGTTTTTTAAAGATGGCTGGCTGGGGGATTGGGGAGACAAAGAACTTACATACTTACATGCATAGTCCATGGACACGGCAATAGGGTGAAGACCTGGGCGGGGTGGGGGGGGGGGGGTGTATGGGCTGGGAAGAGGGGGGAGGAAGAGGGGTGGGGAAATGGGAGATATCTGTAATACTATCAACAATAAAAAATATATTTTTAAAAATACAGATGGCTGGCTGTTGTGTGGAGAAAAGACTAAGGGAGCAAGTGTAAAAGCAAGTGAGTTTTAAAAAAACCTAAAAACTAAAAAGATGAGTTGGGAAGCAGTCTAGGCTGGAGGAGCTAGTGGTACTCAGATTCAAAGATACATGCCTCCAATTTCCACAGTTCCCTGTTGCCCAGAGGGAGTGGCAGGATGCTGCAGAAACCACTGCATGCTGAGCAGAAGGGGAATGAATGAAACTGGAGTTTTTAAAGGTCAAAATGAGGTTAAATTTGGTGTAAACACACTAATTTGTTCTGAGGGAAATAAAGCAATACATGTCCTCTTCCCTTCTACCTGAGTCAGTTGGAGAAGGCATGGAAAAGGTTTTCAAGTTACCACTAAGAATAGGTAAAATTGACTGTGATGGCCTTAATTTCCTATTTACTTTGTGACACTAAAAGTTTATTAACTTACTATTTGAAGTTTGTGGAACGTTTATATTGAAATCTTTAAAATTTTTCAGTTTAAACACTTTCTCAGAATAGCAACACCTAGTTTTTGTATTTCAATTAATTTCACTAAAGTCTAAATTAAATCCAGATAATTTCAAATGATTTGGTATGTTCTTTGCTGAAATTGCCAAAGGAACTTTATTGAACAAAAACACTGAAAACTTGCTTTTTGCAAAGAAGTCTGATGCTTGAACTTCATGGCTATGAATGTTAAAATTTTTAAACACAGGTAAGCATCTGTGGTAGTGTTTAAAGATGTCCTGTAACAATTGTTTGGCTCTTTGTGTAATTTTATTTATTTTTTTTAAAAATTTATCTTTATTGTTGAAAGTATTACAGATGTCCCCTTTGTTTTTTTTCTTCTGATTGTCCCCCTCTGCCCCTCACTCGCCCCTCCCAAGCCTTCACCACACTATTGTTGTGTCCATGGCCTATACATATATGCCTATAAGTTCCCCTGTTTATCTCTCCCCTCCCACCCCACATTCTGCTGAAATTCATCAATCTGTTCCATGGTTCTATGTCTCTGGATCTATTTTGTTCATCAGTTTACTTTGTTCATTCGATTCCACATATGAGTGAGATCACGTGATACTTATCTTTCTCTGACTGTCTTATTCCGCTTATCATACTCTCTAGGTCCATCCACGCTGTTGCAAATGGTAAGAGATCCTTTTATTTTACCGCTGCATAGTATTCCGTTGTTTAAATGTACCAAATCTTAGCTATTGTAACTTGTGCTGCTGTGGACATAGGGGTGCATACTTTCTTTCTGATTAGTGTTTTGGGTTTCTTAGGATATATTCCTAGAAGTGAGATCTGCCTATTCAGCCGTCATTTTCTCCCCTCCTCTTTATGTAATTTTAAATGACTCAGGTGACTCCTCCAGTTGTTAATGTTTGCCCGTCCTGAGATAGATGTCTAAGATCTGAAGCTAGAGTTGACATAAGGTAGTTATAACTGTGTCTCTTGTCCCGTCTGTGGAAGTTGCCCTCTTAATTGAGTGGCAGTGTTTAAACCTCTCTAGGCCTTGGCCTTCGGTCTGCCTATGAGGTTGATGATCTTCATAGAAGGAAGAAGCAGCAGAGTCCTGATCACTACCTCTAGAAGAGATGAGAATTTGGGAGAGATGGGAGGAGTTAGGGATCTCTCTGCTCTCTAGAAACTTAAGGGACAAGAGAGACCAGGTGTCCATCTAAGAAACCATTTTCATGTATTTCAGAATCTCGGTCTATTGAGCAAGTTTAGGTCTGTTTACTAAGCTTCTGTCCTTGCTTTGTTTTCTTTCTAATTACTGTGGGGCATGTATTTAAATGGTGCTGTGAAGAATTACCCATTCACCACCTAAGGCTGAAATTCCACAGTTCAGTTTCATTTCGTTAAAATGCCTCTAGAGAGACATTCCCTCCCTACCCTTATCACCCTCATCTGGCCATTCTCTATCTTCGCAGTATTTTCCCACAGAGCCCTACACAGTATCTGTTCTTGTATATGCATGTGTTTATTGTCCGTCTCTCACTGGATTGTAAGCCCCAGGAAGCCAGGGGTGTGGTTCTATTTACTCTTGGAATTCCAGAGTGGGGAACCATGCCTGGCCTCAAAGTGGGTGCTGCCATAGCAAAATACTACCGTGTGGCTTGAAACAACAGAAATTTATTCTCTTCCAGCTCTCAAGTCCAGAAGTCCAAAATAAAAATGTCAGCAGGGTTAGCTTCTTCTGGATTCTGTTCCCTGCCTTTCTTCTAGCTTCTGGTTGTAGGTGTTAGTCCTTAAAGTTTTTTGGCTGTAGACACATCACTCCAATCTCACTTCCATTTTCACATGTCTGTGTATCCTTTTCTGTCTCTTACAAAGACCCTCTCTGTACTTAGGGCTCATTCTATTCTGATATAATCTCATTTAGTAAATTACATCTGCAAAGACCCTATTTCCAAATAAGGAAGGTTAGTCTGAGGTTTCTGATGGACATTAATTTGGGGTGGGGCACTATTCAACCCACTACAATGCTCAAATATTTGATGGAGGAATGAATGAATGCACAGTATAATTCTAGGCTTCAACTCCTTGGGCATTTTCCATTACTGTCTTAATAATTGTGCTACCTTCTGTAGAGGTTAAGAGGTCAGTTTAGTCCCAGAACGCTTGGGCTCCTAATTCTGCTTCTGTCATCTTCTAGTTGTGAGATCTTAGGCAATTATTTAACTTCTGTAAGCCTCAGTTTCCTCTTCTTCAAAGCAGTAACAAGGATAAATAAGAGTAAGTGTCCTGTAGGGCGTGGCTATAGGGTTAAGCCTCGGACTGACCTGTTGGCAAAGCCACAAATAAGTCCCAGGTTAGAGGGCACAGCCCTCTTAGCATAACTAGGCTTGACCTTATGACGCCCCCTAGATCTTATCTGGGTAACTAATGGGCTGAGGGAGATTCAACAAATGCTGCCAGAACAAGTGAAACTCACAAGAACATTGTAACTATGGTGACCACTACCTTGTTTACCTCTGGCTATAAAATAAAGGCTCAGCTTGCCTGCCGCCTGGATCTCTCTCCTTGGCCTCAGCCAGGCACAGGAAGATCCACCTAGACCCAGCTTATTCTCTTTGTCATTTCTTCATCCATTTGCTGCACTCAGGCTTTCGAACCCTTGGCTGAGCTGGCTTGGCACAGTGTCCAATAAGTGTTAATATTATGTGTCTGCAACTATTTAAAAACACTTTACATATTTAATTAATCCCCATTATAGCCTATGAAGTGGGTATATCATTATTCTCATTTTAAAAACAGAGGAAACTAGGTTTATTTAAAGAATTAAAAACCGAGGAAATATATGTGTCATTTTGTGAAGTCCCTGGCACATAGTGCTGAGAAATTCTTTGCTATAATAATAAAAACTAGTGGCTTGGTTAATTAGAAGGAGTATTTTAATATCGCTGTTCACCCTTTCTCTATAATAGAAGTGTCAGCCAAATTCATGATCGACAATGACAGATGGAAACACACATGTGTGATTGGCACCAGTGAGAGCTTTATATGTATTGCACATTTGTGAGTCAACTTAGCCTTTTATAGATATAGAATAAACTTGCTTAATTAGACCTGCTTTCTGATTTAGCTAAACTTTTTCGAGCCCAGTGAAGCACCCCAACTTCTCTTTCAGGTAATTGTCACCAACACAGCAGTAAATATCAACACGAAGCAGATTATTATTGTAGATCACACAGGGAGAACAAAGGATAAAATATTTAACTGCAGCACTGTTTGACTATATTCTGCACAGTGAGAAAACCTGAAATCATTTTCAAGGTCCACCATTTCTTACTTCTTTTCAGTCGGGTCAAGTTTCTAAGCTTTCTAAATCTCTGTTTTCCAGCTAATGAAAATAAAATAGGATTCCACCGAGTCTCCTATCTACCTACTTCAGGACTTCTGTGAAGGTCAAATGAGATGAGGCATGGGAAAATGCTTCACAGACATTTGGTTAAAGTGTAAAATGTTTCTACCTGGCTATAAAGCAAGTCATGTTCCTGGGCTGAAGAAACTGCAAGGAGGCTAGTTGTCGCTAAGGATAGGAAGCTGGGCGTTGCTATGTGACGACATTACCTGGTGCCCACAGCCATAGTTTCTGGGCTGGGCTGGGTTGTGGGCCGCATTTTGCTCCATGGGGTCTTGGCAGCTTTGGCTGCGATTTGGTGGTGTGTTGCTCCGGGGTGGTGGTGGGGCCTGTGTCCCACTTGGGGAAAACCGAGTGTTGCTTTGTGGGCACCAGGTCCGCGGTGCCTTTTTTCTGTAAACGGCCAGTGGGCGTCATGGCAGCTCCTACATTGAGCGTCTGCCCCCTGGTGGTCAGTGTGCATCATAGCGACTGGTCAGACACTTAGACTATTAGCCTTTTATATATAGAGATGTGACTTAATCTCATAACCTCAAGACTTCTCTTACAAATTTATTCATAATCAGAACAAAATTATGAAATGAGGTACCTCAGTTTTTGCTCATATGATCATTGTTGTTGAGAGGGTACTATTCCTGGGAAGACCAGCAAGATGGTGGCCAAAGGTAGGGGCATTTAGGTGGTCAAATTACTGTATGGGGCCCCAGTGCTGGGGGAAACTAACACTGGGGTGTGAGGATGCTAAAAGTACAATTCCTCTGAAACTTGTTATGGGCCTGTTCTTATTACCTTTTTCCCCATAACTACTCTGGTATATTAGAGTAGGGGATTGATGTCCCAGAAAAATGATATACAGCAAACAGAATGTCTACACGGGCTACTTTTATCATGTTTCAGTGTGCTGGAAGATACTGCTTCAGATATTGTGTTGTTTTCACCTTTTGATTAAACTCCTCTCCCTGCAACAGGTAAATGTCCAATTTACTTGTTTCTTGCTTTGTTCTTTAATTTTTTCAATTTAAACGCTTTGCATTTTTAGATCTCAGCTAAAAAATATCACATTCTAACTCCTTAAAGCCAGGCACACATTATTTGCAAGTATTTTCATAGTTTATGTATTTCTGTGTTACGTATTCCACTAGACTGAGGGTGGGAACTCTATTTTATTCATCTGGCAGCTAGCAAATCCTAAGTGTTTTCTGAATGAATAGCTAAATAGATAAGCCAAGGGGTAACAGACCTGTTTTAGCTGCTGCTCACCTGTTACCATCCCTGGGTTCTGACTGCTTTTCTGAGATGTCTCTGTCTTGTTTTCAGACTGCCTTTACTTGTAGTACTAAGCTCTGACTTGGTCTGCAATATGATATGTAACCAAAGTTTGGTGTAAAATCACCCTTTCCAGAGGTCTATTCACTACCTATAAATTAATTTTTCCATAAATATATGCTTTTTTCTCTTAGCTCATCTAATTATTTTGGATATATGCTTGACATACCAGATGATAAAAGTTTCAAAGGCAAGAAATGCTTCTTTTTGTAAAATTAAAGTATTTTAAGAAACTAGATGATGGTTGTCACTTTAAGTTGAAAAGCAAATGGGCAAAAAAAAATTTAAGGAATAATTGAAATAGTCAAATTTTGAGACTTCTAACATTTTTATGATTTCTTACATTATAAAGGCTGTTGCAAAGAATATGAAAATAGCTGTTTACCCTCACGCAAAAAGTATCTCAAGTATTCACTCTGGTGCTTTTGCTAACTAGAACTGGGTGGGGTTTCTTGCTAAAAGGAAGTCTAAGGAATGCTTTTGTACTGCATCAGTGCAGTCAGCTTTAGTTCTTAGAAGAACACAGTACAGTTGTGGATAGAAGGGAAGACTTATCTCCAGTCTTTCTCAAATTTGCTTTTTAGCTACTTTATTTCATAGTTCCTGTAGCACTTCCACCAGAGGGCAGCACCTGGAAGAGAAACGAGGTGAAATAGAAATTTATACTTGGATTCAGAGTGCCTGTGCAAACCCTGAGGATGGAATCCAACCTCACTTTATAAGCAGCTAGTGTGGCCCAGGAAGACTGAGGATTTGCTCACGGTAGAGCTGGCAGATAAATCACCCAGGCTCTCGATATTTCAGGCTGGTGTCCCCGTGGTGATTCCCTGTGATGAGGCAGGATGGTAGCAAGAACACAGCCCCTGGGGAATCCCAGCTCAGCACTTGCTAGCTGTGTCAACTTGGACTGGTTACTTCGACTCCCTAAATCTTTTCATCTCTCAAATAGTAATAGTACCTACCTCATAAAGTGGTACTAAAAGAGAATACTTGTAAAGCCCGCCACTAAGAGCTTAATTTTTGTGAATTATGGTAAACTTGTCAGGTATTGGACTTCAACTGTGATGTTTGGAACACTGATGGAATCAGCATTTCAACTATTGTAGTATATACACATGCAATATTTTCCACTTTCTCATCATTTCAGAAACAAAATTTTGTGAGTTCCCTTTCCCCCACTGTAACATTCAAGGGACAGGTGTCCAATACATACATACTATGCATGTCCTCTTCCAGAATAATGGCGATGGGTTCATTCAATAACCTCATGAGTAACTGTGGCCATTTCCATTAGATCTTGACTCACGTTGGATGAAAAAATCATATCTAAGAAAAACGCAATGTCTTTTTTGCCAAACATTTGACCACTGTCTGGGGCTTCCAATGAAAACTAGTCTTTACATGCCGTGCCCTCCTTGGCTGCCTGAGGAGTGGCTGCCAGTGAAACAAAAGGGCGAAGACGTGGGTCCCTAGGTGCAGCTGCGGGGCTCTCCGCGGGAAATCCCAGCCAGGTCTGTGGAAGCGGGCTGGTTCTCCCTGTCCCTGCAGCTTCGGCGCAGCCTAAGGCAGTCTTCACTAAACGTAAGTCAGAAAGTAAGTTTCCATTTGTTTAGTGCAAACAATGCTCGCCCAGGGAACGTTAAACCTTTTTAAAGATGAACTTGGCCTTTAACTGCCAAGTGCCTATGGTTATTTTGATTTTTACGTGGCTGCGCTCTGTCTACTAGGAAAGGGTCTAGGACAGTGGTTCTCAACCTGTAGGTCGTGACCATCAGAAAACACATATAGCATATCAGATATTTACATTACGATTCATAACAGTAGCAAAATTAGAGTTATGAAGTAGCAACGAAAATAATGTTATGGTTGGGGGTCACCACGACATGAGGAACTGTATTAAAGGGTCGCGGCATTAGGAAGGTTGAGAACCACTGGTCTAGGATGTGATAAGGAGGTTTTGGAGAGCCCGGGAGTCATTCCTTTGCTCCCAATGACTCTGTCTCATGCAGCCAAACTTTCCCCTCTCATCTCTTTCCTGCTGCCATAGCGAGGTGTGAGCTGGAGGTGTGAGCTGGAGGTGTGTGCAGTGGAGGGTGGGGGAGGGGGGCAGCATTTCGCTTGGCTTCCGTCTGCCCCTAAGGGTAACTTTTTTGAATGCGAAGAGGTGGGGTGGCGGGGGATCTGTCATTAAGGGTTCCTATGGGTGGGACGCGGAGACGGGAGTGAGGAGGGAGTGGCCCGCGGGTGGGATCTGTGGAGCAGACAAAATGTGGGGCCTCGTCCCTTGAAGTTCAACTTGTCTCTTCCTGAGCGAGGAGCAAGGCGTCCGTAGTTCTCTCCCAGGGGCACGGAAAGGAGAGCAAAGCGACCAAGATAAGAGCGAACAGAGGAAAAAGCGAGACATGTTCTCCATGAAACAGTCCCCTGCCCTCGCTCCGGACGAGCGCTACCGCCGAGCCGGGGCCCCGAAGCGGGTAAGATCCACGAATCGCGCTCTGCGGGCAAACAGGTCGGTTGACCTCTCAGTCGGGATGAATTCAGGGGTAACCCCTCCTGCCGCTTGCCCCCTCCTCCCCTTAGTCGCCACCTTCTTTCCCCACCTTTCGTGAGCTTTCCCGGCCCCTCGCTCAGCATCCGGTCCTGCAAGCAGTCCCAGGGCGCACGGTCCTCTCCCCGGGTGCCCAGCGTCCGGGACTCTCCCCGGGTCCAGGGCAGGGTCTCCAGGTTCAAGTCAGGTCAGTCCGGAGACCCGCTCTCCCTCCGCTCTCCTCCCCTCTGCGCCGTCCACACATCCACGGGACTCGCGGGCACCTGGGGGGGATGCTGAAGGAGTTGTCGGGAGCGGCCCCTGGGGACCCGGCTTCCTCTCTGCGCTGCTGCTGACTCCCGGCCTCCGTGCGGACTGCGCAGCCAGCTTGCCTGCCCCAGACGCCAGCCTCCTTCAACCGTGGTGCGCGTCTCGTCTTGTCCCTCTTGGAACCGGGAATGGCGCTGGGTTTCCCTACAACCGGCTGGTGCCCGGAGACCACCTGACCCTTCTGAGTGCTGGCACCTCAGAACCGGTTCCACTTGCAGGGCGCCGGGGGTCCCTGCGTGCCCTGCGCGCACACTTTGTCTCGGGCGCACACCTGGCCAGGCACCCGCGTCGCCGGTCGCCGAAGGGCGCAGATTCAGAGCGGCTCCGGGTTTGGCGAGCTCCGATTCTGCTGGCGAGAGGAAAGGTGGGGAGGAGCACCCGATGGCCCGCACTGCCCTTCGCCTCCGGGAACCGGCTCTAGTTTGCAGCTGCCCTTCTTCAGTGTTAGGAAGGTCCCTGCTGCACAGAGACAGGTACGGTGACCGCTCGGTGCGGAAGGGAGTGCGGGCTGCGCAGGCTGGAGGACGGTGTTGCTCGGGATCTTGCTGGACTGATCCCCAGCTCCCGGGCGGTGGCGGACGCCCCACGCCCGGCGCCACCCACCCTCTGGGGCCGGTGGATGGCGGTGCAGGCGCTTTTTGCGCGACAGGTAGTTCCCGGGACCCAGCCCTGGGCGCTTGCCCTGGGGAGCTGGGCATTCCCAGGGAATCTGTCCCAGCAATGCATTCAGAGATGCTTTCCTTCCGCGGGGAACTCCTGAAAACAGCGCACTGCAAAGACAGCTCTGGTATGACTCTTCCTGTATTCACAGTGGTAGTTTGTAGGATTTTTTGTTGTTTGTTTTTGTAATTTAAGGATAGAAGCCCAGAAACAGAGCCAATCAAAATTTACTGGTGATCATTATCCACAGACATTTTAGCTGAAGGTGCTGACATGAAAGATGCTGCAAAACATTCATTGTGGCATCATCCAGAGAGAATGAGAAGGAACAATGCATTTTTTTTAAAGTTACAAATTTGTCAGTCAACATTCGCCAGAGTGTTAGTGTTATTTGGTGCCTGTAGTTTTTGTTGTGCAAAAGGGAAGCTAAAAATCAGTCCCGGAAACCAGGTTCCTGGGGGTAGAGCGGTCAGACGAGATGTCTGCCTGGACATGTGTGAGTCTGGGCTGAGCGGCCAGGTTTTCCATGGAATCCTTTCCACTGAGAGTCGCGCTCGAGTGTAGAGTTATTTGGGTGTAGAATCACATCAACCTCAAAACCTCAAGATGCTGGAAAGCTTTATTTAGGGGAAGAGGGCTCTTCCCAGAGGTTCCTTGTAGGGTTGGATTACAGTTCCGTGATGACAGACTCCGTTAACCTGCCAGGAGGTTAAACAGACAAGGGTTGCCTTATTAATCTCACCAAGTACATTTCCAGGCACAGTGAAACTTTTTAAAAAGATGCGAAATTCATCACATCAGAAATCTTCCTCTTAGTGCTGCAGAAACCTCCACAGCAAGAGCTCAGAAGGCATCGGTGCCTCCAGCACAAACCAGCTGAGCTTTTGTTTGGGGAGGGTCACGTTTCTGCCGTGGCTTCCTTTGGATTTCAGCGCTTGCTGGCTTTATGGCCCTCCCTTGCCCTTCTCCATTGCTGCGGACAAACAGGAGGATGCAGGAGAAGACTAGCCCGGGATCTCCGGAGAATTAGCCTAGCCACTCTCCGAAGCCTGCATTACAAATCTCCACACTGTTGTGAGGTACTCACTCTGCTGATCATCTCCCTCCTTCCCTTCCCTCCAACCCCCCTCCACATGGAGATGTATGGCCTCAGGGTTTCTGCATGGCTCTGCCGCTGGTGGGACAGGCGCTCCCGGATGATTAAAGCTGTGATTGAGCATTTTTGCTGACTGTGTCCAAGGGAGAAAGGGTTCTTCCATGTGCCACTTCTGCCTTAGAAAGTTAGTCAGCAAGGATGCATTCATGCGTCCTGTTTGCTCCATTGTTGTTCTTGGCATTCCAGTTTGTCTGCCCAGGTGGAGAATGGGGCTGGTTGGCTAAAGGATACGGACCTGTATAGAATACTGGATCCACACTAAGCACTCAAGGACACCTCCTCCACCCCTCCCCCCTCCCGCCCCAGACTTACCCATTCCTCACAATCTACTTAGACAGGTGCACACAGGTATACACGAACTTTTGTGTTTAGAGTGTTCAGAGAGGGTGGGGATGGAGGAAATCACAAGAGTGAAAAGGTGCCATAGGCGAGGTGCCTTGGTGGAGAGCATGGATTTTGGTGTCAAAGCCTAATCCAAATCTCTTAGAAGCTGCAAGACACTGAGCAAGTCAATCTGGTTGAGCTTTGATTTCCTTATCCAGCCAATGGGGGTGATACTACTGACTATCTCTAAGGACACTGAGAGGACTAAGGAAATACTTATGTCCTAGAAACACTATATTTAGCAGTTGTACATTCTGTGAAGGCTCCCTAACCTGTTAGTAATTATGGAGCTGTCTCATCCCAGGGAGTCTCCCGGGCCTTTCTTCTCAGCCAGCCTTCTGCGACTCTAAAGCTGTGCTGTCCAATAGTGTAGCTGCTTGGTACTGAAATTAATCACAATTTACATCAAATTAAAAATTGGGATCTTCAGTCTCACTAGTCACACTTCAAGTGCTCAATAACCACGTGGACCAGTGGTCACTGCGTTAGGTGTAGACAGAACATCTCCTTCGCTGGGATGTTCTCTCAGAGCTGTCTTTCACTTGAGTGATCATTTCGCTGGACGCTCAGGTGATAAAAGTTTTCTTAGCCAACACCTCCCTTTGCTTCTTTTGCACATGCCAGGGTATTTGTTGAAGGTTAAATGGCTAGATTCATTTATACATCAGTCAACAAATGTGTATCAGTCATAAAACCCTTGGGAAGTCTCCCCTCACCTTGATGATTTTTGCTAACGTATGGTTCTTTCCCCTTCACGATGAGCTCTATGGCTGGTGGTTTTCCTGCTTTTAGAGCAGAAATACTGATGTAATAGAGGGAGAATTTATCTTCCCCATTTACCCTTGCATGTTGTATCGTTTTTCACAAGAATGACAATACTAGAATATGAGGCTCCATGTTTGGGTCAGATTCTACTGGGAGTGTTCGATTTCTTCTAAACGAATTAGATTCGAAACTATTTCTCTCCATAGAACCCCTTCCTGAACTTGTCACCATTTGACAGACTATATATGTTACTTCTCACTTTTGGTTATTTTCTGTCTCCTCCCACTCTAAGGTATGAACTCCAAGGAGGCAGAGGTTTTTCCGTGTTTGTTCATTGCTGGAAGAGTGTCTGGCACATAGTTGGTACCTATTAACAATGTGTGAATGATGACTGTGCAGAAGTACATTTGTAACTAGCTAAGAAAGATAACTGCTGTATTAGCTTCCTAGGGCTGCTGCAGCAAATTACCACAAACTGGTTGGCTTAAAACAACAGGATTTTATTTGCTCACAGTTTTGTAGGCTACAGGTCCAAAATCAAGTTCCTTGGGGTGGGAAGAGTCTTCCCTCCCGCCTCTTAGCTTCCGGTGCTTGCTGGAAATCCGTGGCTTTCCTTAGCTTGTAGCTGCCGCACTCCGATCTCTGCCTTCTTAGTCATGTATCCTTCTTCCCTGTCCCACGTGTTCTTTCTCTTTATAAAGACACCACTCATATTGGACTTAGGGCTCACCCTGATCCATTATGACCTCACCCTAACGAATTACAAAGGCAAAGACTCTGTTTCCAAGTCAGGTCACATTCATGTCACAATCCATGTGACATGAATTTTGGGGATGCTATTGAAGCCAATACAGATGCATAGATCCTTTCCCTGTCTCCATTCCTTACCCCCTAGGGTTTATTCTATTGCTGGGACTTTGCTAAATGCACTTGAGAGCAAGTACAGTTCACAACACTTATTATTTGTACAGTCACCGTGCAGGTGGGCAGATCACATGTGCTTTCCTCGTGGGCGTGGAGTGCAGGGGCTGCTCACCTTTGGGTTGCTGCATCAGTTGCCCTGTCCTGAGCCTGTCACTGTCTCCAGTCCCAGCTCCTCTCTCTTCTGACTTTTCTGTCTGCCTGAGCCCGAGCATTCTGCAGCCCTGTTTGCTCAGCGCAGAGCTCAGCTGAAGGTGCCCAGGAATTCTGTCTGCCTCTCAGCCCAATGCTGGCAGTTACCCCATGAGCTCACCTGATGGCAGCTGTTTGAATATTCTCCTATGGTACATGTCTCTGTGTCCAAACCATCAGAGTGGGTGGTGACCACGGTGCCAATGTGTGATAGGACCAGAGGACCCAGGTGGCCCTGCTGGGGATCCATCTTGTCTTCCCGTATCAGTGCTGAAACTGTCAGCACTCAAGAGGAGCAAGGCCAGTGAGCCAACAGGCTGGCTTAGCAGGAGGGCAGGAAACATAGGGGTGAGTTGGGAAGACCATTTTGGTGCCACTAGTTTGTGCTTGTCCCAGGGCCCCTTCAGACCTTCAGGCTGACAGCTTTGTTTGCAGAACTTGGCAGAGTTTTAAAGAACAGTCCTGGTGCAGCTATGAAAGTAAATGTCAGTCTGTCCAAACCCATGAAGGTCATGCTGCTAGTGTCACCACAGAGAGCA